ATAGATAGATAGATAGATAGATAGATAGATAGATAGATAGATAGATAGATAGATAGATAGATAATATAGATATAGATATATAGATATAGATATATAGATATATAGTTATGTGTGTGATTTACGCGCTCATTTTCTCAGATTCAGAATTCCTTTGATGCTACCACTTGATTTCCAGTAAAAGATATCTTTTCTCTAATTAATGGAGTCTAAGTGTTTCTTTCTTGGATTTTGAATGGAGCACCAGCTGACATTATTCTGAATCTGAGAAAATGAGAAAAAGATGCATTCTGGCTGAGCAAGTCAAGGCCATCTCCGGGGATACCAGCAATGCCTGGAGGGAGTGACTTCTACAACCCGCGAAATTACCTTGTTGGGAAATGTGACTCGGTGACATGCTTTGTGGGGAGGGTCAGAGGCAAGGCGTAAAGGGGGTGAAGTCAAAGTTGGCTTCAACTAGGTACTGCTGACATGGCGCTACTAATAAATGATTGGATTTTTATTGCCAGATGGCTTGAGACTCTTAATTGCATTAAGGCACTGGTTGGAACCCTGACATCAAGCCAACTCTCCCAAAACTAATTAAATGTCAACTCATAAAACATTTATATGGCCATTTTATAGTTGCCAACAGAAAGTGGGGAGGAGTTTGAAAGAGCAGTGCAGTTGTTTGGAATTGAAAGTGCATTCCATTCATATTTTGCAGAGATTGTAACTAGGCGACTCGAGTTTCTGCCGCGCAAATTGGACAACATGATTGATGACTTTTGACTATGGATGTGTTTCATTGGAAAATATGAATTATGATACACCCAGAGGGGTGGGGGAAAACCAGGGTCAAGGGTGACAGTGAATTACATGTCTCAGAATCAGCTACATCCAGGTCATGCTGACATGTTAACTCCCAATAAATCCTTTGAAGTTTTGGAAGTTTGGCTTGAAACTCATGATTTAATTGGAGTAACTGCCGGAATCCTGACAGCTAGTCGATTCTCATAATTAATCACCATTACCAGGGTGCCCAGCCTCTTCTCCAGCACAACGGTTGGAGAATCCATGGATGAGTTGACACATGCCTTTCTGCCCGGAGACTGAGTCCTTAATCTTTTATCACGCCCCTCTGTCACTGTCACTTTCCCCAGTTCACAACTCAGTCTTGCCCCATGGGGACGTGGCAAAAGATTGGCTTGCAAATCTTTGGGTAGAAACGCTGGAATTTCCAATCCGATAGTTTGTGCTGGCAAGTTATAGTGCTACGGAAGCTTTCTTTTGTTTTTTTATCTCTTTCATCGATCGAAGAGGCTGTTTCTTTTGTAGCCAAGCCTCACTGACTCAAGGGGAGTAATCTCCTGCGTGAAGGAACCCACCGCTCACCTGAGGCACTGCTAGCCCAGGTGCCGCTCTTTGAAGCGCCATAACTGCTTCTCAGCTGTTTTTCAGAAATTTTATCTATTCCGACATTGCGGCTTTTGCGGCTTCATGGTATTTTACCATCTGAAGCGAGCGCGTTGGTTGGGAAGCCCCTTAGGAGTTTTCAGCTGTCAAACTATTTGAGCAGTTTTCCTGGATTTAGACAGCTTTAGGAGAGCTGTGGCTACAGGAGGAGTGGGCTGGCTACCCCAATTGCTGGTATTGCCACCACACAGCCTAGCCCTAATTAGCCCCATATTTAAAAGAGAGCAATTGCCAACAAGAGAGCAACTGCCATCCAAAAAGATCAGGACAACAACATTTTTCTGCAGGCAGGGCAGCTTCTCTATTGGACTAAGTAAGCTGTTAAGATGGCCGAACAGCTTCTGTTGGCTGACAGCATGGCAGAGCAAGAAGCCTCTTCATCTGCTCCCAGCAAAAAAACCAGCTCCAGAAGAGGTAGATCAGCCAGCCAAGATGCAGCCGATAAGCTTAAGGCTAAGGCTATCTACTCTAGAAAACCATCAAGGGCTGAAGAAAAAGATTTCTACAGAAGACAGAAGGCCCCGGAGAAGCAGATATCCAGAGTACAAAAGAAGGCTCAGCATTAAAGTATTGCATCTCCTTCATTAACAGAGACTGCCCCCCCCCCCCACCAGCTTTGCAGACTAGTGTTGCAGTTCCCATTAACTGGTCACCAGAGGGTGATAGGGAGCAGTTTCCTGTTTTTCCAACTGACAGTCAAAATGAGGCAGAACAGTTTCCCTTTGCCTGCATGGCAACAGAGGTAGCTGAACCTCTGGTTAGGGATAGGGCCTTTACCCCTGAGGCAACTTTTAAGCCCACTGCAGCAGGGCTCCACCCAGTAGACAGGCAGGGATCTGGTCTGTCTGAGGAACTTAAATTCCTCATTTCACAGGCTATTTCTCAGGGAGTAGCCACCACTCTTCAACTTGGAAGATGCGCTGCTTCTGTAACTTCTGAGCCCCCTCCACAGCTGTCCCATCAGTATCTATATCCTAGAGAGGCTGGGTGGGCACATGGGTCTGCATCAGAAGCAGGGCATCAGTATTAGAGAAGGTTGACGAGGGGAGCAAGGGTTCTCAGATGATGACCTTGACCTTTCCTCTGACCCCCCTTTCACTGGACTCTTTCGTCCTGTGCTGTTTAAGTCCCTCCTCCATAAGGCCAGGTCCATGGCCCAAATTGGGACTATAAGGCTGTGTTCTCTGAACCTATTTTTATGCAGGAAAACATCCCCTACCCCAAAATTTTATTGAGGTGGTTCAGAGGCAGTGGAACCAGCCTGGCACATTTCCCAAACTGGGAGGTAATGATAGGATGTTTAAAACAATGTAGTTTACACAACAACTGGAGAATTGCCATTCACTCGTTGGCATAGCAGAAAACCAAATTTAAGTTACCTACACACATTTGGAGCTCCAGCATGGGTGCATATTCCCTCACAAGTAAGACTGAAAAGGCAACATAGAGCTAAGAAGTTATTTTTTGTAGGTTATGAGGCCAACCATAGATCATTTAGATTCTGGGATCAAGGCGCAGCTCATGTTTATTGTAGTGCTAGTGCAAAATTTCTAGAGCATGTTGGGTGGGATAAACTGGAACAGGAATCCAGCAATGATATTATTATTGACACCCAAATAGTTCCTAAAGATGAATTAAGTAAACCACGAATAGCCATTAAAGAGGAAGAACAGGCACAGGAGGAAGTAGTAGAACAGGCACAGGAGGAGGTAGGAGAACAGGAGCAGATGGCACAAGTGAGTCCACCAGTAAGCCCTGTATTATCAAGACATTCAACCCGAGTAACATGACCACCTGATAGATATCAGGCTGGTGTTGTATGTCAACTGAATACAGTTCCAAGTAATTATAGTGAACTAAAAATGTATCCTGCTAAGGATCAGGCTGCTTGGCAGAAAGCAATGGATAAGGAACTGGAATCATTAAAAAAGTTAGAGATATATGAAAATGTTAAGTTACCACCAGGTAAAGATGCCATAGGATGTAAATGGATATATAAGCTTAAGACAGGTATGGATGGGACTGTTACCCCTAAAGCCAGGTTAGTAGCACAAGGGTTCAATCAGACAGCAAACGACTATGATGAGGTGTTTGCGCCTAGTCTGAAGGCTACTACATTAAGGGCAGCATTAGTGTGGGCAACTAAGGAGAAATACATTGTAAATCATTTAGATGTAGAGACAGCTTATCTGCATGCACCATTGCAACACAGTATATATTTAAATAAACCTTTAGGTCTCAAAAATGATAATACAACTGATTGCTGGAGATTGAAAAAGAATCTTTATGGTTTGAAGCAATCAGGATATGAGTGGAACCAATGTATAGTTAAAGAATTAACTAAGATAGGTTTTGTAGCTGGCATGGCTGATCCATGTTTGTTTAAAAGAGAAAGTAATGGTGTAAGTTCATTGTTGCTATTATTTACTGATGACATAGCATTAATCACCAAAACTGAACAAGAAGCTACTAAAATAATCTCACTGTTAGAGAGGAAATTTAAAATAAAACAATTAGGAGAAATCAAACAATATCTTGGTTTAAAGATGGATAGAACTAGGGGAGGATACAAAATCTTACAAGCTGATAAAATTAACCAATTATTAAAAAGTTTTAAAATGGAACTTTGTAAGACACCAATGAGCCAGGAGTTTAACCATAGTAATGTACAAAGTCCTGTTTTTGATAAGAACATTTATCAGTCCTTGATTGGTAGTTTATCTTATCTCAGTAATTGGTCAAGGCCAGATATTGCATACAGTGTTAATTAATTAGCGAGATTTAACGCTGAGACAACTGAAAGGCACTGGCAAGCTGCTAAACGTGTGTCAAGATATCTGAAACAAACAATGCATTATGCATTGTATTTGGAGCCTAAAGATGAACTGAGTTTAACTGCATAT